TCATTATAATCTGAACACACATCTGTATACTGTATCAGTGTAGACAGCGTCAGTCATTATAAACTGAACACACATATGTATACTGTATCAGTGTAGACAGCGTCAGTCTTTATAATCTGAACACGTATCTGTATACTGTATCAGTGTAGACAGCATCAATCACTATAAACTGAACACACATCTGTATACTGTATCAGTGTAGACAGAGTCAGTCATTATAAACTGAACACACATATGTATACTGTATCAGTGTAGACGGCGTCAGTCTTTATAAACTGAACACACATCTGTATACTGTATCAGTGTAGACAGCGTCAGTCACTATAAACTGAACACACATCTGTATACTGTATCAGTGTAGACAGCGTCAGTCATTATAAACTGAACACACATCTGTATGCTGTATCAGTGTAGACAGCGTCAGTCTTTATAAACTGAACACACATCTGTATACTGTATCAGTGTAGACAGCGTCAGTCTTTATAAACTGAACACACATCTGTATACTGTATCAGTGTAGACAGCGTCAGTCTTTATAAACTGAACACACATATGTATACTGTATCAGTGTAGACGGCGTCAGTCTTTATAAACTGAACACACATCTGTATACTGTATCAGTGTAGACAGCGTCAGTCACTATAAACTGAACACACATCTGTATACTGTATCAGTGTAGACAGCGTCAGTCATTATAATCTGAACACACATCTGTATACTGTATCAGTGTAGACAGCGTCAGTCTTTATAAACTGAACACACATCTGTATACTGTATCAGTGTAGACAGCGTCAGTCTTTATAAACTGAACACACATCTGTATACTGTATCAGTGTAGACAGCGTCAGTCATTATAATCTGAACACACATCTGTATACTGTATCAGTGTAGACAGAGTCAGTCATTATAAACTGAACACACATATGTATACTGTATCAGTGTAGACAGCGTCAGTCTTTATAAACTGAACACACATCTGTATACTGTATCAGTGTAGACAGGGTCAGTCATTATAAACTGAACACACATCTGTATACTGTATCAGTGTAGACAGGGTCAGTCTTTATAAACTGAACACACATCTGTATACTGTATCAGTGTAGACAGCATCAGTCATTATAAACTGAACACACATCTGTATACTGTCTCAGTGTAGACAGCGTCAGTCATTATAAACTGAACACACATATGTATACTGTATCAGTGTAGACAGCGTCAGTCTTTATAAACTGAACACACATCTGTATACTGTATCAGTGTAGACAGCGTCAGTCATTATAAACTGAACACACATCTGTATACTGTATCAGTGTAGACAGGGTCAGTCTTTATAAACTGAACACACATCTGTATACTGTATCAGTGTAGACAGCATCAGTCATTATAAACTGAACACACATCTGTATACTGTATCAGTGTAGACAGCGTCAGTGATTATAATCTGAACACACATCTGTATACTGTATCAGTGTAGACAGCGTCAGTCATTATAATCTGAACACACATCTGTATACTGTATCAGTGTAGACAGCGTCAGTCATTATAAACTGAACACACATCTGTATACTGTATCAGTGTAGACAGCGTCAGTCATTATAATCTGAACACACATCTGTATACTGTATCAGTGTAGACAGTGTCAGTCACTATAATCTGAACACACATATGTATACTGTATCAGTGTAGACAGGGTCAGTCATTATAATTTGAACACACATCTGTATACTGTATCAGTGTAGACAGCGTCAGTCACTATAAACTGAACACACATCTGTATACTGTATCAGTGTAGACAGCATCAGTCACTATAAACTGAACACACATCTGTATACTGTATCAGTGTAGACAGAGTCAGTCATTATAATCTGAACACACATCTGTATACTGTATCAGTGTAGACAGCGTCAGTCATTATAAACTGAACACACATATGTATACTGTATCAGTGTAGACAGCGTCAGTCTTTATAATCTGAACACGTATCTGTATACTGTATCAGTGTAGACAGCATCAATCACTATAAACTGAACACACATCTGTATACTGTATCAGTGTAGACAGAGTCAGTCATTATAAACTGAACACACATATGTATACTGTATCAGTGTAGACGGCGTCAGTCTTTATAAACTGAACACACATCTGTATACTGTATCAGTGTAGACAGCGTCAGTCACTATAAACTGAACACACATCTGTATACTGTATCAGTGTAGACAGCGTCAGTCATTATAAACTGAACACACATCTGTATGCTGTATCAGTGTAGACAGCGTCAGTCTTTATAAACTGAACACACATCTGTATACTGTATCAGTGTAGACAGCGTCAGTCTTTATAAACTGAACACACATCTGTATACTGTATCAGTGTAGACAGCGTCAGTCTTTATAAACTGAACACACATATGTATACTGTATCAGTGTAGACGGCGTCAGTCTTTATAAACTGAACACACATCTGTATACTGTATCAGTGTAGACAGCGTCAGTCACTATAAACTGAACACACATCTGTATACTGTATCAGTGTAGACAGCGTCAGTCATTATAATCTGAACACACATCTGTATACTGTATCAGTGTAGACAGCGTCAGTCTTTATAAACTGAACACACATCTGTATACTGTATCAGTGTAGACAGCGTCAGTCTTTATAAACTGAACACACATCTGTATACTGTATCAGTGTAGACAGCGTCAGTCATTATAATCTGAACACACATCTGTATACTGTATCAGTGTAGACAGAGTCAGTCATTATAAACTGAACACACATATGTATACTGTATCAGTGTAGACAGCGTCAGTCTTTATAAACTGAACACACATCTGTATACTGTATCAGTGTAGACAGGGTCAGTCATTATAAACTGAACACACATCTGTATACTGTATCAGTGTAGACAGGGTCAGTCTTTATAAACTGAACACACATCTGTATACTGTATCAGTGTAGACAGCATCAGTCATTATAAACTGAACACACATCTGTATACTGTCTCAGTGTAGACAGCGTCAGTCATTATAAACTGAACACACATATGTATACTGTATCAGTGTAGACAGCGTCAGTCTTTATAAACTGAACACACATCTGTATACTGTATCAGTGTAGACAGCGTCAGTCATTATAAACTGAACACACATCTGTATACTGTATCAGTGTAGACAGGGTCAGTCTTTATAAACTGAACACACATCTGTATACTGTATCAGTGTAGACAGCATCAGTCATTATAAACTGAACACACATCTGTATACTGTATCAGTGTAGACAGCGTCAGTGATTATAATCTGAACACACATCTGTATACTGTATCAGTGTAGACAGCGTCAGTCATTATAATCTGAACACACATCTGTATACTGTATCAGTGTAGACAGCGTCAGTCATTATAATCTGAACACACATCTGTATACTGTATCAGTGTAGACAGCGTCAGTCATTATAAACTGAACACACATCTGTATACTGTATCAGTGTAGACAGCATCAGTCTTTATAAACTGAACACACATCTGTATACTGTATCAGTGTAGACAGCATCAGTCATTATAAACTGAACACACATCTGTATACTGTATCAGTGTAGACAGCGTCAGTGATTATAATCTGAACACACATCTGTATACTGTATCAGTGTAGACAGCGTCAGTCATTATAATCTGAACACACATCTGTATACTGTATCAGTGTAGACAGCGTCAGTCATTATAATCTGAACACACATCTGTATACTGTATCAGTGTAGACAGCGTCAGTCATTATAATCTGAACACACATCTGTATACTGTATCAGTGTAGACAGCGTCAGTCATTATAAACTGAACACACATCTGTATACTGTATCAGTGTAGACAGCGTCAGTCTTTATAAACTGAACACACATCTGTATACTGTATCAGTGTAGACAGCATCAGTCATTATAAACTGAACACACATCTGTATACTGTATCAGTGTAGACAGCGTCAGTCATTATAATCTGAACACACATCTGTATACTGTATCAGTGTAGACAGCGTCAGTCATTATAATCTGAACACACATCTGTATACTGTATCAGTGTAGACAGCGTCAGTCATTATAATCTGAACACACATCTGTATACTGTATCAGTGTAGACAGCGTCAGTCATTATAATCTGAACACACATCTGTATACTGTATCAGTGTAGACAGCATCAGTCATTATAATCTGAACACACATCTGTATACTGTATCAGTGTAGACAGCGTCAGTCACTATAAACTGAACACACATCTGTATGCTGTATCAGTGTAGACAGCGTCAGTCACTATAAACTGAACACACATCTGTATACTGTATCAGTGTAGACAGCGTCAGTCATTATAATGGGCTCTATTTGCTTTTGATGCGACGCTCACATCCAGTGTAAGCAAATATCAGCAGTAAAGCACCTGAACGCCAGTGGGCGGGGCCTGTGGTGTAATAATGTATCACTATTCATCAATGTCTTGCTCTAGAGGCAGGCATAATCAAATGTATTAACCCGTGTGATGTCACGGATCCCACAATATCAAAACTAGCTGGAGCTTGATTAAATAAATGCTTTGATTATGAGGACATTTAAGGGTAACGCTTCCTTTTACAGTCCTGTTACCCAAATACATACTATGTACTTATTATAGTAATTACAATTACTGGGTAATAACTAGGTACTAACCCTGAACCTACCCCTAACCCATGTACTTACCTTATATTAGCCAGTACTTTCTAGGTAAGTACACTCTTATGTCAAAAGAGGTAAGTTTTACTTCTCATGTCATGACCCTTTTAAAATATATATATATTTTTTTTTTTACATAGTTAAAGAAAATACTTAAATGGTTCCAACAGTTGTTGCTATGGTCCCGAAATTGGTATCAAGCACTGTGCAATTTTACTGGTACTGGTATTGACTACTGAAATGCTGGTATTGTGACAACACTAGTTCTGAAACTGTTCAGAGTCAGCACGTTTCTAAATGCTTTGTCTCACCGTGTCGTCTTCTCCTTCAATCATGGCATATTGTGGTAACATTGCGCCCTCCATCGTGCTGCTCTTAAACACACCCTTTATCTTGCTGCCAATTCGGCTGATCCCAAACGACTCGCCACGCTTCGACGTGTTCCTGTGCGCAAAAACACACAGCGGTCACAAATTCCGAATGGTTGCTTAAAAAAGACATACAGCACACGACACTGCAACAAAGTCACATGACCAATGACAGGGTATATAACTGACCAAATCATAATCACAGGAAATGATGGGTTTAACCTAAGAACAATTGCAATACAGATACAGGCTCAAACAATGCAAGGCAATGCAGACAGTCCAGTAAACCCATGCAGCAATCCTGTTGCCTGTGCAGAACTTGGACCAATTTTACCTCCAGAAAACGCTTTCTGACAGGCAAACTGGTCTAAGATGAGCCTGGGAACATCTTCCACCCCAGACTTACTTCCTGGGGAGGGCTGGTGATACTGTAGGGCGACGTGTTATGACAGATGTGGGTGAGGCTCTGGAATTGACCACTGGAGACCTGTGGCCAGTGACATAATTCCTGGCCAAAGGGATGCTGTCAAGTCTAAATGAAGCAAATAAGCATGCCAGCACAAGTAATGAGGGGGGAAAAAGAAGAAAAAAAACATACACATCAGCAATAAAAGGACAGCTGGAGATGGGAGAAGACAGATTCAAATGCACATCAAATTATCATTCATTACTAGTTCATTTACATGAACATTTGAAGGAAAAAAAAGGATCTAGTGTGTGTAGCCATGTAAGTCAGCAGTTAGTTTCAGCTTCAGATGGCATTCGCCATTCGCTGACTGCCTAAATCCTAATGCACACAAAACTGATCCAATCAGATTGCCCGACTACAACGTAATATCCATGAGTCAGAACAAAACTGTGTTGAGCTTGTGAGAAAGAAGTAGGTGCTGGATTTGCCAAAGTTTGAGAGGTCAGAATCAAATGTTTTCCACCGATTTCCAGTAGTTTTTGCGAACTACTGTAGATATAATCAAGGACTTTGTTACATTTGGTTTTCCCTCTGAGAAAAAAATCTGTATTTTTATCTTTTGGACGGAAAGTAATTCTTCTCACAGTAAGTCCACATGCATTTCTGCTAGTGTTTTCTGAACTGTTCTCGGCCAGAATGAGCTGTTACTGTCAGGGTTCTCATCTGCGCTTCTGTCGGTCTTGTTTTGTTAAATGTTTCTTTGTTTGTCTTCTGCTTGGTCTTTGTTTAAGTTGGCCATGTGCTCCTCATTGTTCATCATTCCCTGTCCACTGTTTTTGGACTGTGTACAGTCCACCTCTTTACCTGCCATCCCTAGTTTTGTCTGCCAACTTGTATAAGCACAAGAACGCTCATTCTAAATTTGAGTTCTCTCTCACAGATCTGTGACAGTTATATTATCCAGACTTTATGTCTCCACAGGGAATCAAAGGTCTGGTTACACAAGACACGTCAGATAGTGAATGTTAACAGCTCCACAAACTCCTTGATAAAAGCCGTGGCCACACTAGCTGACTCGAAACAACTCGATTTGGATTGGGGGGTTGGTTGGGTCACACTTTGCAACTGAGCCTATCACACTCACCAAAGAACAGACAATAGGCAACACACTTAACCTCACAAACAGCAAACTGTTGTAATGGACTGGTTACAGTTGGATTATCTTAACAGAAGAAATGAAGCGGAGAATATTTCCATCTCAAAGAAGGTGGAGCCTCAGATTCACAACTGGCTGTACAGTTCGAAGGGGTTTACCAGTCAGAGCGAACTATTCTAGAAAGCTATTTCGAATTCTAGAAACGAACTCCAAATGACTTCCTTTTGGCCTGATTTTGTTCTCCGTTTTAGTTTTAAGTACAAGGGCCTGTACTGTTGAATTGACTTGAGCTGAATAATGAGACTATTGTCTTCTGTACAGATGATTTATAGTTGAACTGAGTTTGTTTTAAACTGACGAAGGTTGCAACATTGACACTGTTAATAAACTAAATGAAATCCACCCTGAACTTAACTGAGCTGAATCATTACACTACTGTCTTCTGTAGAGCGCGTTTGCAGCTGAAATAGAGGTCTTTTAATAAATAATAAATTTGTATTTTATGGTTTAGAACTGTGAAGCTGCTTTGAAACATTTTGTATTGTATGATGTGCTATAAAGCTACAGCAAGATGGAGATTGTCTTCACGGTGAGCTCCTGTTCCCCATTCATTCGATGCCAAAACAGGGCATTTAAAAACGTGATGGGATCAGTGGGAAAATTCAGTCGCTTAGTTGATCAACCATCTTCCATATTAAGTGTTCAGTGTGAGAGATCCTCAATTACAGTGTCAAGATTTCAGCAAAGTTAGATGATTGTTGTGATATTACAACCCATTTTTGGGGTGTTTTGTCTCAAACAGCAAGCAATCTGACATCCAGCTGGAGAAATTGGCAGAAGTTAAAAATGTAAAAACCATCTCCTAGAATCCTTCTGATGTGACAACAAAAGAACCAAATGAAAAAAAATGTGTTCAACTTTCTTCAAATATAGAATAGGGCTGGGCAATATAACTGAGAAGAAGAAAAAAGTCATCTGATAATATTTCATATAGTGGGGAACAAAAGTCTGAGATCACATGGGAAGTCTGGTATTTTATTCATGTAAACATTGAAATTATTAGAAAGTTTTAGTACATTGTTTCCACTGAATCACACCAGACATTCTCAGATCATACCGGAGGTTCAGTTCATGTCGGCTTAATTTGATGCCTCTAGTAAAACAAGAAGAGATTTCATGTCTACATCATTTTTAAATTCAACTTAAAACTCATTCTTTTTCAGTAGTGGTCTAAGACTCTGAACCCACTGTATATATATTTTGACAATGAAAAAGATTTGTTCTGAAAAGGTTTAAAATGGTTAATATTTTCAATGAATGTAATTCCATAACCTTAAAAAATATAAAGTAAAAAATGTGTTAAAATCATCATGATATTTACTGTATTCATATTGCCACAAAAGCACTATTGAATATATTGTAAATATCTGATATATTGCCCCTCCTATCAAACGGTCTAAAGGTTCTTCATGGCATTGAGATGCGCTTTATGGCTTTCAGGCAGCTTTATAAGGCATGCAGTGAGAGCACTGGACAACAGCCACTTGAACCTCCATAAATACACTTACCTTAAATCATCCAAACTCAAATTCCTGGAATAACAGGCAAAAGGGGTTACCATCTACCCCACATGTCTCCCACTGCTACACATGTACACGTCTATATGAAGTGAATAATACTCACTCTTTGATAATGAAGCATATTCATGTTATATGAGCTTTCTCTCTCATACAGAATATACAGCAAAGAAAGGTGCCGTTTAACCGGGTGTAAATACCTGTTTTTTTGTTTTGTTTTATGCAACCCATTCAATATGACAATACAATATTTAAATTACTATTTGCTTTATTACAACAAAAACTAAAGAAAAATGATGCTATTGAACTGTAAAATAAAAATAGTTGTTAATAATAATTTTATTTAGAACAAGAGCAAAATTACAATAGAAATGTTTATGGCTGTCTTCTGTGCTTTCAAATCAGTTGTCAATAGGGGTGTAACAATATATTGTGTCTCAATATATCGCAATACAAAAATGCAACAATATGTATCGTGGAGAGTTAAACCCAAAATTAAAATTTTGTGAGAAAATAAATTATGTTTACAGAGTTTTAGTGTCACTACTACATCAAACTACTATATATATTGTTGAAAATAATGCAATGGGTACATATTTGTGGGTCCTTATAATGCCAAATGTCTTTTGTTACCATTAAAAAGTGGCCGACATTATTTTGAATATATGTAGTCAGTGACAGAGTGCAAGCATATTTGTCTAAAATAAATCTGTATTTTAATTTTTCCTGAATGTAATACCAAATTTTGCGTTTTAAATCAACAGTACATTTTTTGTTAACCTTTTTACCATATGTCTTGAAGTATCACGATAATATCGTATCGTGATATGTATCGAATCATGACATGAGGGTATCGTTACACCCCTAGTTGTCAGTCATTTCATAATCAAACTATGTCTGAACAGAACTATTTTTAGCAATCCCAACTGTATTCTGCTGCTGCGTGAGTGTAGCAACACACACACACACACACACAAATGCAAGGAAACTCACCTGTTTAGCTTTGAATTTCGAGCAGGAGACTCAGCACCCCAGAGCAGATGTCGGAAATACTGAGGATGAACAGAGACAGGCGCATGATGGAGAGTTTAAACACAACATCTTCAGCAGCTCTGAGAAAGCAATCCCTGGAGGTTACCTCATCACTGTGGCAGAACATGGGGGTGAAGACCTTCTCCAGCAGAGACAGCACATGCTCATAGGCCTCGAACAGACACCGCATCGTCTGGAGCTTCACCACGCCGGTGTACGGCCCCTGAGCGACTGAGGGAGTGACAGAGAGAACAATGAGAGACCGTGGCACACAACACAGGTGCTGCACAGAAAGCTGTGATGACACTGACTGTTGTGGATCTCATCTATGATGAAGGGGTCAAAGCTAATCTTGTCGATGCTCTCCTCCAGACAGTACGTCTCATAGATCTTCTGCACCTCCTCATGCAAACGCTGCATCTCTGCGTCACTCAGGTCAGGACACAGGATCCGGTCATTAAACTCCTCTACACACACAAAAACCCACATTTGCATTCATTAGCATTGATTAAACACTGTGCACGTTAACATTATGCATTATGAACTTTTCAACAACTGCTGTTCATCGTTCACAATACGTGTGAGCAATTTGGTCAACCAAGTTATCTACTTAAAGCAATAGTTCATTTCAAAATGTTGTCACCCTCAAGTTGTTTCAAACCTGTATGAGTTTCTTTCTTCTGCTGAACACAAAGGAAGATATTTTGAAGAATGTGGGTTACCAGACAGGGACCCCATTGACTTCCATAGTAGGAAAAAAAAATACTATTGAAGTCAATGTCTGGTTAGCCACATTCTTCAAAATATTTTCTTTTGTGCTTTTGAAAATCATACAGGTTTGAAACAACTTGAGGGTGAGGAAATGATGAAAGAATTTTCATTTTGAAGTGAACTAATCCTTAAAAAGTTTGTTGCCAAACCAACTGCACTGATCTTATCGTGACTGTCAAAGAATAAATCACTTTTGTGGTCAAAAACTAATTAAAAATGCACAAACTTGAATTAAAGCAGCATATGTAGTTTTCACTAGGACATTCCAGGGCACAGTGCGAGAAAGGTTTGCAACTTTTTCAATGGATCTTGGTGGACTAACATAAAGAAATGTCCAGCGGATAACGCTGCTAGGACAACTGCCAGACACCTCTAGAGCAAAGAGGATGCATAGTACCAAACTAGCAAAGAACAAGCAGCATCGAAAAACAGACTGCAGTGTCGCCTCACATCTCTTTAGGCTGGGACAAAAACCAGACCTGAAACAGACCTGATAAAACTAGACCTGATTCTGACCGAACAGTATTTTTTTAACCCAACCAGACCTGGATATAAAAGGCAGCGACATCTACGCAGCCCTGCATGCCTGTGATGAGTGGTGAGTGGTTTCTTAACCAAAAAACAAGAGACAAATAAGAAATAGGTGTAGATTCAAAAGTATGCCCAGAAATTCATTCTCCGATCTTTCTATGTATTTTTCATGTTAGCAGATATTGTGATTTTGCCATCTACATGTATGATTACTGAAAACATTTGTGCTGAAGTTGATTAATCTATAATCAATTTAGTTACATTAACACCATCTAATGGGTTAATCATGTACTGGCATGTCTTTTGGTAACAGAAACCCTCACCTCCCCTTTTAGTTAGTGATGGCACAGTCATGAGTGGTGTTGATGTTAAGTACATGTCCTCACCCACAGTCAGGCAGAACTGCAGGACGTGTACCGCTCCTTCCTCCTTCAGGAAACTCATGAAGCGGAACAACAAATCCTGCTGCTCTCTGATCTCCTTCAAATCCAACTTCAACACCTGGCAGAATAACAAATAAAGGAAATAACCTGTGATGTTTTCAGAAAATTACTAAACTCAAGGACTCAAAAAACATTGAAATGATATTGGAAGTACAGTGTTGAATTCATCAACCTTATCACTACACAGCAAAATCCCCAGAGTTAAAGCTGCAGTCTGTAGCTTTTTTGGGGTTAAAAATTATCCAAAATACTTATTTGAGAAAATACATAACCAGCCAGTGTTCAAAACTTTCTGCTTGCCTTAGCTCGATTCAAAGCGGTAAGCTTGTGATAATGTTTTTAATTCCAGTGGTACTGGTGGATTTCAGCGGGAGATTCGAGCATGTCTTTGCGCCATTACGTCACATCTGCACACACACATCTGTACACACACATCTGCACACACACATCTGCACACACACATCTGTACACACACACATCTGTACACACACACATCTGTACACATAAAGAAGAGTCTCGGCTAGTAGACTATATTGAGTCATTACGTCACATCTGTACACATAAAGAAGAGTCTCGGCTAGTAAGCTATATTGAGTCATTACGTCACATCTGTACACATAAAGAAGAGTCTCGGCTAGTAGGCTATATTGCGTGTGAGGATGTTGGAGGTGGAGATTTATAGCCTTTTCTCACAGCATTTGATATAATTAAACTTATCAATTTGATGGCGGATCCAGAAAGGTTAAAACGACAATCACCAGTGACAACTGCAGATTCACCCGCTGTAAAATGCCAAAGACTTCGTTCGGACTTCGGAGTGGCTACAGAAAAAAGAGACTGCACAGGCCCATGCGAAAACAAGGATAAATATCGGAAGGACATTACATGTAGTCACGCAATGCTGACGTTGTTAACATTAACAATTTGAGAACAAAGTATAATTTGCACGGTTTTGCGTGATATGATAACATATAAGCGATTGTTAGACTTAATCAGCGCGATTTACTGCAATGACAGAACCAGAACAAAGGTGGATGTTTCTTATGTTGGTCATACTTCCAAAAAGAATAATCTGTGATTCTGAATGCCAGTATCCACACCGGCAGTGACTGACACACACTCTCTCCTCAAACACCGTGTTCATCCGCGCTGTGCCGTGTCGAGGGTCGAAGTACAACTCACGTAAAATTGATAATTCCGCGAATGACTGCAATTTCAGATTTCGAACAGAGATGGCGACAAAGAGGAAAAACGCCGGACTGCAGCTTTAAATCAACTCTGCTCAGAGTTCATATGGTCCCACTCTAAAAAATGTCAACTCTGTTCAGTTAAAGTGAATGAGATAATTAAGTGATGAATGAAGTGACATTGAGCATTAGTGATGAACACCTGCTGTTAACAAGCAGAATTACTGAACGAAAGAGAAACAAAATAACTACAACTGACTTCCAGCCACAGCCTTAGATGAAATCAAATGAAGATAAAAGAAGACATTACATCTCTGAAGATCTCAGCAGAGGAGGAATAAACAACTCCATAAACAGCATAACCAGCCTCACTTATTAATAACAAGATTTACTTTATTTCTGTCATACGTCTATATAAGTTATTTTTAAGAATTAATACAGGTTTAGATGTTTTATTAGAAATGTTTGGTCACCACTATGGTGATCAGTGTTTTCTTTAGTTGGGCAGTTTCACTCTTGACTTTTACTGTGAGTTTATGATCTTTGTAACAGTGTTTACCAAAACATATAATTTGTTGCAAAGGACGCCATGAACTAAGATGGTGCTATAGTTTTCAACATAACTGGAGATCTTTCCGAGCAGTTCTCAGGAAATCTCCCAAAAAGAAACAAGGCCGGTGGATCTCAGACAAATTCCTTTGAGAATCCAACCAGTAAACATGAATACAACAGTTTGGCAAAATGACATGAAACATTAAATAATTTCCCCACAACTTGATTGGTTCTTCATAGACAAGCTTAGACAAGGTTAGACAACGGTCTAGTTTCATTTCCCATATTTGTTATTTTTACACTCACACAACCAAAGTCAGGAGTTTTCACTAGTTTCGAACACTACATTTTGTTCAAATGTTAGGATGCCTAAAAGGGAAGTAAGGTAAGAGTTAGTCATAATAGACCCAAAGGGGAAGTCAAGTAAAAGTTTATCATAAGGTTAGATCATCTAAAGGTCATATTTTTAGAGTCAGAAACATTATTAGTTCTAAAAGATAGTTTACTATTTTATCTATTAAAAATCCACCACAGTATTCATTGTAAATATAATTATAAAATTGTAACAAATAACCTTTTTTGGTCTGGAATAAGATTAGTGAATTATTCTACTTTCTGATGCTGAAAAATGTATCAGCTGATCATCTTTGTTTCATGGCATCCTTTGCAACACATTTTGTGTTTTGGTAAACACTGTTACAAAGACCACAAACTCACAGTCCAACTGCCCAACTAAATGGAACACTGATCACCATAATGGTGACCAAACATTTTCGATAAACCTCAACATCTAAACCTCTGTTAATTCTCAAAAAGAACTGTAGATGTACGAGAAATAAAGTCAAACTGGTTAGTAATAAGTGAAGCTGGTAATGCTGTTTGTGGAGTTGTTTATTCCTCCTCTGCTGAGATCTTCACAGATTTAATGTCTTCTTTTCTCTTCAGTTGATTTCATTTAAGGCTGTGGCTGGAAGTCAGTTGTAGTTCTTGTTTCTCTTCACTTCAGTGATTCTGCTTGTTACCAGCAGGCGTTCACTAATGCTCAATGTCACTTAATTATTCACTTAATTATCTCATTACTTCAACTCTGAATCAGAGTTACTTTCACTTTCACACTTAAGCACCATGTTAAGGTGACATAAGTTGTACATACCGAAGATTTCTTGTTGCGTGGATCTGCAAACTTCTCCAGGAAGGGCACCAGAGCAGATGGAGGATCGTAGATTGGCTCAGGCTATCAGAAAAATTACATACAAATACGAAAAAAAAAAAAACATTATTAAAACACACTTGGCAGGAAAGGCTGACTGAACAGTCTGTTATTGATTTGTTTGAATCACTCACTGGACTATCATCGATGAAGATGAGCACCATGTGATTTACTGTGTCCTGCGGAAAAATATGTGATTTATAGATTGGATAAACAACTACAAGATTCACACACAGAAAAACAACTTTTATTTACATGTATATGTTTATATGTATAATAAATGCAGCTATTGGATAAAATATACAAACAAAATTTGGACAGTTGTAACCAGATAATATTTATGGTTTAATATCCTTATTTAAAGGTAACCTGTTACACTCACAGGATCAGCCACAAAGTCCATTATTGGCAGAAACACAGAGCCTGTCATGACCTCTCGAATCAGCAGGGCCAAAGACCTGAGAGTGAATCACAGAGCTTAAATGAGTTTAGCAGAGGAACATCAACTGATCCTCATCACACTTTACACGCAGTATTTCACGCCTAGAAACGTTCAGACATTAGTGGTAAAATCATTAAGATGGTTCTCAAATCACTATAAATGGTCGTGTCTTTGTTATACATTGCTGTTCAAACATTTAGGGTCAGTACGATATCTTAAATAAATTAATTCTTTTATTGACCAAGGATGCATTAAATTAATCAAAAGTGACAGTAACTAGACTTTTACATGGTTACAAAAAAAACCTCTTTCCAATAAATGCTGTCCTTTGATTAACTTTCTATTCATCAAAGAATCTTGGAAACACAGTTTCCACAAAAATATGAAGCAGCACAACTGTTTTCAACATTGATAATAATAAGAAATGTTTCTTGAGCAACAAATCAGAACATTAGAAGACTGGAGTAATGATGCCAAAAATTCAGCTTTGTTGTGTAATTGTTCTAGTGCAACTTCACACGATCAACAAGGTGCATGGAAAGAAGAAACAAAGTTATTTTTGGAGAACACCAGCAACAGTTGTGACGTCAGGCGGTCAGAACAAACAAAAGATGGAGCTGAAAAAGTAATGCTGTTTTATTTTGCCAATGCGTTTCGGCGCACAGGCCTTCATTGGGGCTAAAAGGTTACAGGTGTTCATAGGTTATGATAAATAATGGATTATTTCCTCCAGTTGAGACGCTTCAGATGAACACTGTTCACCATGATGGTTTTGAATTGCTTGAAATATGATTGGAATCACTTCAAAAACGAAAAATACAGTAAAGTGCAACATATAGGCTACATAACATTATAATGAGATATAATATATAATTGTGTGCTTTGGACATGGCTTTTAATGGTGGGACTTTTGTTTTTGTAATCAGGCTCTAAAAAATTATATACAAATTTGGATTTAGATGTATCGGCCAATATATCGGTTATCAGCTTTCAAATATCAAGAATTATCGGTTATCGGCCAAAATTTTCATTACGGTGCATCCCTTCTTTTTTCATTGTGGTTGTTTGCTAGTTTTAATTTTGTCCTTGTTTGTATTTAAAGGAACCAATCTTCACATGTAACCTTTTAACCCTGATGAAGGCCTGTGCGCTGAAACGCGTTGGCAAAATAAAACAGCATTACTTTTTCAGAAAATTTTGCTTTGCCATCGTTGAATTTTAAAATATATTAGAACAGAAAAACAGTCACTTAAATTTGTAGTAATAGTTTTACAGAATTTCTGATTAAATGCAGCCTTGATAAGCATAAGAGAAAAACTTCTTCCAAAAACATTTAAAAAATCTCACTGACCCGAAGGGTTTGAAGGATATCGTATCAGAGGTGTACCTGCAGTCTGTGGCTCTCGGCGGCATGACGTAAGGAAACAGCAGTTCTGTGAGTTTCCTCAAGTACAGCAGCTCATCTTTGCGGCTCCGCAGGGCCACATGCAGATCGGCACCGTACTCAGCTAGTGCTGCCTGCTGGAGGCTCTCGGTGTTCTTCACTGATCACACACAATTTAAACAAAATAACATCTTACAAAAAATAACTACCGGTAATTGAAATGATGGAAAACGTCATTTATACTCCTAAGTTTATACCATGAGTTACGACAGAAATGCTCCATAGGAATGGAAGTTTAAAGACCCGTCTCTTCCTTTTCATTAGTTTGTTTAGTTTTAATTCTAGACCCAATCTCTTATATTTTATGATTTAATCACAGGACACACCTTTCTGCTGTGCTTTTGCCATGATCTCAATGTGCTTCATAGCCGCTTTCATCATTTTGTCCATCACAAGTGAGGGCACATCCACCTGCAAGACAATTTTAGTCAGTATGCCACTTTACAGATGCATGTCAATTGTGATATCTGTGTCAATGGATTGTGTATGTACTCTCTGTGCTCGGTGAGCCAGAACTGCAGCAAAGAAACGGATTGTTTGTCTCAGTTCATCCACACACGCTTCGTCATCTGTAATATCTCTGATTGCAGATCATCAAAAAAGAGAGAAAAAAAAGGTGAGTTGAATACCTTTTTAATTTCCCCAGCTAAAACGTCGTGATAAAAGCAACATTTGCATTAAAAGCAGCCATACCTGTACCATGGGTACACAAAGTTCTCGAGAACTAACTCCAAAACCTGAAGATCAGTCAAGCAAAGTGTAAATAAATTGGTTCGATTTATGAATTTGCTTATATATCATTTTACTTGTGACTGGAGTTATGGCTCTACCTCTGAAATACTGGCATCCACTTTGGACGACACCTTTAAGTCCAGCCATGGCTGATAGTTCTCCAGCAGAAGGGTCGGTCTTTGGAAGAAAAACACAAATCCTTTATATAGTTACATTTACATCTTCATTATTCAATCAAGCAGAATTGATGTTTCACAAGGTTTCACAAGCAGAATTGATGTTGTCTGTGGCGAGCAGGGTGAGGCAGAGAGCAGTGGGAACAGAGCGAGGCTGGAGGCATGAACACGCTCTCACAGAAACAATTCTTCATGCGACCTAAACCCCGTTTCAAACTAAAATGCCAGAGTGAAAACCCCCTTAATTAACTACACAAGAATACAGCAAGCATTTTTTTAAACTATATTTCAAGAAAATGAAGAACAAATAATTTGCATCAGTTGTGTGTTCGCTTTATTATGTTTTTAAAGCTGCAGTCCGCGTTTTTCCTCTTTGTCGCCATCTCTGTTCGAAATCTGCAATTGCATTCATTCGCGGACTTATCAACTTTACGTGAGTTGTACTTCGACACCCTCGACACGGCACAGCGCGGATGAACACGATGTTTGAGGAGACTGTGAGGCTGTCAGTCACACCGCCGGTGTGGATACTGGCATTCAGAATCACAGATTATTCTTTTTGGAAGTATGACCAACATACGAATTTTCACCGGAAAATGTAATCTGAACTAGTAAGAAACATCCACTTTTGTTCTGGTTCTGACATTGCAGTAAATCGCGCTGATTAAATCTAACAATCGCTTATAAGTTATCATATCACACAAAACTGTGCAAATTATACTTTGTTCTCAAATTGTTAATGTTAACAACGTCAGCATTGCGTGACTACATGTAATGTCCTTCCGATATTATCCTTGTTTTCGCATGGGCCGGTTGCAGTCTCTTTTTTCTGTAGCCACTCCGAAGTCTGAACGAAGTCTTTTGCATTTTACAGCGGGTGAATCTGCAGTTGTCACTGGTGATTGTCGTTTGAATTAAATAAAGTGCTGTGAGAAAAGGCTATAAATCTCCACCTCCAACATCCTCACTCGCAATATAGCCTATACTAGCCGAGACTCTTCTTTATGTGTACAGATGTGTGTGTGTGTGCAGATGTGTGTGTGCAGATGTGTGTGTACAGATGTGTGTGTGTACAGATGTGACGTAATGGCGCAAAGACATGCTCGAATCTCCCGCGGAAGTCCACCAGTACCACTGGAGTTAAAAACATTATTACAAGCTTACCGTTTTAAATCGAGCTAAGGCAAGCAGAGAGTTTTGAACACTGGCTGGTTATGTATTTTGGATCATTTTTAACCCAAAAAAAGCTACGGACTGCAGCTTTAACTTAAAGAAGCCACTTTTAACTTTATCGTATTGTTATATTACGATGCTATCATATTTTGTGCAGCAAATCAGTTTTTTTTTTAATTATAAATAAAAAAGCCTGACAATGTCACTGCTAGATACCTATAAGTATTGTGGTATTCCACCATGTTTCTCACTGTGACGCCATTAACTCTTGCAGATCAGGGCTTGATCAAGCTTCGCACTGGTATTTATGGATTTGTGGTGGAGTTCATGTGCATTTTACTTGTAAATACGATCTTTCCAACATGACTTGCCATTATGCTGCCTTCACGTACTATCCCAATTATCATATACACTCACCGGCCACTTTATTAGGTACCCCATGCTAGTAACGGGTTGGACCCCCTTTTGCCTTCAGAACTGCCTCAATTCTTCGTGGCATAGATTCAACAAGGTGCTGGAAGCATTCCTCAGGGAGTTTGGTCCATATTGACATGATGGCATCACACAGTTGCCGCAGATTTGTCGGCTGCACATCCATGATGCGAATCTCCCGTTCCACCACATCCCAAAGATGCTCTATTGGGTTGAGATCTGGTGACTGTGGAGGCCATTTTAGTACAGTGAACTCATTGTCATGTTCAAGAAACCAATTTGAAATGATTAGAGCTTTGTGACATGGTGGAAGTAGCCATCAGAGGATGGGTACATGGTGGCCATAAAGGGATGGACATGGTCAGAAACAATGCTCAGGTAGGCCGTGGCATTTAAACGACGCCCAATTGGCACTAAGGGGCCTAAAGTGTGCCAGGAAAACATCCCCCACACCATTACACCACCACCACCAGCCTGCACAGTGGTAACAAGGCATGATGGTTCCATGTTCTCATTCTGTTTACGCCAAATTCTGACTCTAACATCTGAATGTCTCAACAGAAATCGAGACTCATCAGACCAGGCAACATTTTTCCAGTCTTCAACTGTTCAATTTTGGTGAGCTCTTGCAAATTGTAGCCTCTTTTTCCTATTTGTAGTGGAGATGAGTGGTACCCGGTGGAGTCTTCTGCTGTTGTAGCCCATCCGCCTCAAGGTTGTGCGTGTTGTGGCTTCACAAATGCTTTGCTGCATACCTCGGTTGTAACGAGTGGTTATTTCAGTCACTGTTGCCCTTCTATCAGCTCGAACCAGTCTGGCCATTCTCCTCTGACCTCTGGCATCAACAAGGCATTTCCGCCCACAGAACTGCCGCTCACTGGATGTTTTTTCTTTTTCGGACCATTCTCTGTAAACCCTAGAGATGGTTGTGCGTGAAAATCCCAGTAGATTAGCAGTTTCTGAAATACTCAGACCAGCCCTTCTGGCACCAACAATCATGCCACGTTCAAAGTCACTCAAATCAACTTTCTTCCCCATACTGATGCTCGGTTTGAACTGCAGGAGATTGTCTTGACCATGTCTACATGCCTAAATGCACTGACTTGCCGCCATGTGATTGGCTGCTTAGAAATTAAGTGTTAACGAGCAGTTGGACAGGTGTACCTAATAAAGTGGCCGGTGAGTGTATGTGAGCTTCCTAGATTAAAATTGGACATGAATGCCCTCTGAAGTCGTATTTACCACGGGGGAGCTCGGGGATAATGCTGTTATTACGAGATAGTCGCATTCAAGTGCTTCTGTTGTCGGAAATAACAGGAATCATGGAGGACACCAGGTTTATTCTTGCCTTTTTATTGGGAGAATCGTTTTAAAGCCAAAATGATATTTAGCGTCCCATTAATTGACAACCATAAAGATTCACCGCACGCTATAGTCAGCTTGCTGACAATTCTAGAATTTGGGTCAAATACAGGCTATTTCTGCTGTGTGTAAAACATACAATGCGCTTCAAATGATTATTTCTATATGTAAACATGCACTACTTTAACGACAAGACCAGGCGATGTAGCGGTTGTGGGAAAACCTAATAAAGCATGCAGTCACAGCAGCAATCCTTCTCTTCTTCAGCATGTTTAAAGTTTATGGCCAACTCGGGAACTTGGGTTCGAAAATCATCCCAGAGCTTCGCAGTGGTAAATACGACTTGAGAAGGCATTCCAGTTTTTCCATGTCCAATTTTTAACTAGGAATTTCATATTTATTATTATTCCGACAGCATATGAAGGCAGCATAATTTTGCTACCCAAGTTCCCGAGATTATTTATGTTAAAGTTCAGCCGGTTCTCACCTCCTTCTTCCCCACACTACAGACGGTGATACATTGTCCCTTCATTTTTGCTGTAGAATTTTACTGTTGAATTGTTTTTTGGTTTTGTTGGTCTTTCCCAAGTATTTTTCTTGCCTTTTAAGCTGAATGGGACCCTTTTTATTAGACTGTGACGACACGTTTCTAATTGTTTTAATTTTGCTACACTTTGTGTTCTTTTACCTTGGCAGTAAGTCACAAAAAACTAACACTGCTGCTTTCTTTTTCTTTTTTTTGGAAAGTCATGGAAAAGCTATCTTTTGTTATTGGAGCAAACGGGAATAAAAAAACAAATCATATTTGCTGTCGTCTCATACACCTCTATAGAAGTTTAATAAACTATGACGACTTCCACTTCTGAGAAACCCAGAAATGTGAAAAGGGTCCATAGTGTAAATCGCAAAACTTGAAAGAAAGTTTTTAAAATTCAATATAATTTTCTCAATCCTTGCTTTTCGAAGAACCAACTCATAATGCTTGCTTGAACAGAAAGAACACATCACCCACGTTCAAAAGGGGGAAAAAAACGGGTGTTGGAGGTGTAGCCCGGAGAAAGTTCAACAGACAGCCACTTTTCAGTCGAGTGCGTTATACAAACAGACAACAGAAGTCCAGATGTCTGTAGTTCTCTCTCTCCCTCTTCCTTGAGTCCGAGGCGCTCCTCCGTGGGTCTTGAGACCAGTGGGCAACACAGCTGTTATTTGCTCCCACTCATTCCCAACCTCGCCCTGCTTGCCACAGATACTAATGTAGTTACATTAGGAGCAGCATTTTAATCACAAAGAAATAATCAATGACACTGAAATATGGGAGAAGGGTTTAAATAATGTCAGGAGGGAAATAATGTAACAATGTGAACCAAAACCATATTAATAGTCCAAAAAACAAAACTTACATTTTTTAATTCTAAACATAATTTCTTATTTCGTTCTTTTGAGATCATACCTGTGGCGTGTGCACTGGTTTTTCCCACATACTGCACAGCTGTGACCCAGAGGGAATAATTCCTGCTGTTCCTGTGGCTAAAGATACACAGATATACAGTATTCATAAATACAGTACAGTAAGGCTGTCAATCTTACTCTATAATACTATTCGAATTCCATTCCTTATTTTATTTAATATTCGAATATTAAATGCTCAAATTCATCCTATTATTAATATTTACGACATTACTCAGGCTTATGGATCGCCAATGCCACTATAGCATGTGGTTGTTTTTACACGTTCTGTCTACTAGAGGGACATCTAACATTACAATAAACATTTTATTCGTGCTGAATATGGTTGAAGCCATAGACATAATAAATACATAGACGCCCTATTGGCCGCTGGAGCGTACTTCAACGGCGCCGCCATATTGTGGATGGCAACTTTCCCATACCTCTCATACCGGGAATTGAGAAAAATTCCTGTTTTGTGCGCTGTTTGGGGCTATACACATCGCCACACAATAGAAAACAGCTTTCGAGGAATTACCTTTCACAAGCAAGACTGAACGTTTGTTTTTGGTTGTATTTGGTCATGATTTAATTAGTAATAGTAACGTTCAGAGGATAAATTTAAAAATACTACTGTTATTGTGTCACGAAATGTAGTTTTAATAGTTTTTCAGTCAACAATGTAGTTGTTTAAAGCTCAAATATGTGGTTTGTTTATAAAGAGAGCGCCTATTTAAAAATTTGATCTGACGTTTTCGGAGTTGTAAGATGCGCTCAGCGCTCGTCTACCCCGCCTGGAACAGCCGTCCCTCGGCCAGTGCTTCTCAAGTTTTGCCGCTGACTCGGATGTCTGTAGTCTAGTGGTTAAACATGAGATATAATTCGTCTTGTGTATATCTAACTGGCGATCTTTGGTCTCATTAATCTATAAATGGTTCCCTGGTAAATCGTTTTGGCTGAGGGCAAAGTGAAGTTTCATAACTTTATATTTAGGCTATTTTAACGTTGTATCCTGCTGTATGTTTGACTGAAACTACTTCTGTTATACTGATCAATAAAACTGAAATTTAACAAAAAGAGTTAAATATTAAAGTCACTATTTAGCTTATTTTTTATTGTGTATATTCTGTAATTGATATTTCTTATTCTATTGCTATTATTATAGTATTATTAATAAACTATGCTATTATCAATATTTTTATGATTCTATTATTGTATTTATGATATTATATAATTATGCTATTCATTACTATTTTATTTGCTGTATACTATTTGTTTATTTTATTGACTAAACTATTTACTATTACTTCTCACTTTATGTTATATTTACTATTTGCATTGCACTAGTTGTACCGTAACATTTGTATTATCATAAAGGATCCATCAGTTATCTTTGTTATTGCTACAATCTGGTCAATCACAAAAAATGCTTTTTCAACAATAAGAAAACTTAAATTATATCTCAGTATGGGGGTCTTCACCATTCTTATCCAAGAATAAAAAGCCAAATACATGACAAGCCTGAGCTTTGACCATTCTTTATTAAAAAAAAAAAATTTATAAGTCTAACTATCGAGATTTTAAATAACTAGAGATGGAACTTTTTGTACACCACATACAAACCACTGAAATCGGTTGATAAATGTAAAAACAGTTTGTTTTTATCCAGAAAAGACGCAGCTCCCCCGTTTACTTACATTTGATTACAGTGCAGTCTTGCCCTCCGCAAAATGGCGGACCCGTCGACGTATCGCAGCAACGTTCCAAAGCGGCCAATAGGGCGTCTATGTATTTATTATGTCTATGGTTGAAGCGCTTCCGATGTTTTTCGCTAGTATCTCAGCGAAACCACCACCAAAAATTCGGAAACTTATATCGTTATTTTCAGTTCGACTAGACGGTTCCAACGAGCTCGCCGAGATATTTGCGCTTCACGGGCGCTTTGGGGGGTGCTTTTTTACGTCGTTAAACATTAACCATTTTTGACAGTATTGTTATACAGCGTGGATAATGTGCACAATTGTGTTACGATTCAAAAACTTCATTGTTCATCAGACGAAACAAAAGCATTTAATTTTCACATGCGTGTAAGCCAAGGCGGCGAGAAAGGCAAGATTGCATTAAAAAAAAAATACATAAAAAAGTAATATTCGAATAGTAACTTAAGCTTTCGATTTTTTTTAATATTCGAATTATATTTGGATTTCGTTCCCACAGCCCTACAGTACAGGCATTAAAAGAGTCTCCAGTGACATCTCAGGTAGTACAATCTTATCCAAGTGCTTGCATTACTTTTAATTAGTGGTCAATGGAGGTTTTTAGCTGATATAGAGAGCAGGTCATTCAATATATAATGCAGACCAGCATTGTACACAATATGAATGAAATGAAAACTAAACACTTATTTTAGACAATATATGCTCCAAATTCACAGAAAAAAAGAGGAAGATTTTGAAAATAACTAAGCAGAGGTAACAATTTAGCCTGGTTCTACCAGACTCTCGTACATTTCATTTGTACAGAGAGTCTGGCACCGCTCCATTGACAATCGTTAACTTCCTTGTAGGCAGGTACTCTATTGAAGTCTAAAACTATTGGATCTGCCCAGAGTCACTCTGGATCTGCCACCAATCGCTAACGTTTGCTCGTGATGTATGTCGAATCCCGTGGGGAGGAGGGCCACAACATCATGGCCAAAACAAAACTAAGCAAAGATTGTTCATGCTCCGGCTTTAACTTCTTAATATTCGGCAGCGTTGCTACAACGGACCGAATGGCTTCGCTCGCCTCTTTCTCCGCTGCCATTACTGAACTACAACTCAAAATGACGCACGACGTCATCGTTCTCAGCCACTCCCTCTGTTCGCTGATTGGCCCTACAAAAAATTGATCGGAGAAAACCAAAGTCTACAGCAGAATCCCAGACGTAGTACTGAAGGAAAATGAAATTGAGCGGAAGTGCGTAGGAGGGCGGAGCCAGGCTAGTAACACTTATCCAATTGGTCAAGTATTGCCCAGGCTAATATATCGGTCCACAATATATCCAATATATAGATCCGGTCCTCGAATCTGATTAGCTTCTACCGGTATCATATTGCCCATTTATCTCTATTTATTATATTCGTGATCTGTTGGTGGAGCCCAGCTAAGACTTCGAAGCCTGCTCAAAGTCCTGTCATGCCACAGAATACCACTAATAGAGTTTTACATTATATTTGTCCCACATTTTGGTACATATTTGATAATATCATGCAAGTACAGAATGAGAATGAAATCTGTGAAGAGATCCAATGCCGAGCCAGCTAGAAGAAACTATTAATTCAGTCTAGCTACAGAAACGTGACTTATGTTACATCTTAATAAGGAGAAAAAGTGGCTGAAGGTCATCTTGAGTCTGAGCTGTCTGTAGAAGAGGGTTTTTTTTAAAGTGTACAGTAGCAAAATTATAGATTTTACTGGTTATGGATAAGACCATGCAAGCTGAGATCATACCAATGTGGGTTCACGTGTGATGTGTGGGATCTAATGCTCAACAGAGATGTTTAAAATTATGGTTGGTTGATTGAGTGCAAAAAAACATGGGTAGGCTTTTATAGTTTGGTGGAAGTGTCGTAGACACACAGACAAATAAAAGAAAGACCATGATATGCCTGAAAATTCCCAATATAAGCGGCGTATTAAGAGGCTTAATGGTAAACTGAAAGAGCTACCAGCACAAAAAAAAGGAGTTAGCAATTGTTAAGTCCAAGGACGTATATTTATGTAGTTTTATTTATTTATTTATTTGTTGTGTTTGTGTCTAGATGGTGCGTTTTAGGATTTCTGCTGCTATTGCATGTACTTCACCGCCTCTATCATCCTTTTAATTTCCTCACAGCTCAGATAATACAAGTAATTACTGTTCTTGCTACGGGTGATTTACGAGGACACATGGTGCACATAAACACAGCGGAGACTGCATACAAACAAATTCCTTTCTCTTGCCTTAAGATGTTGCATTTCCCACATTGTTTGCTTCAGGTTTTGTTGAAGTTGTTGCTCAAAAGTTTTTCAGTTTTTCGGATTAGCATGGGAGTTAGGGAAGGGAGGGGATTTTACTCTTTACTCAGTTGTTTTTGTGAAAAGAGCTGGAGGCGGGTGACTAGTCTCTCGGCTTTAATGTTGCAAGCACAAATCTTACACTTGTGCCGTAAAAAGATGCAGACTCTCAAGGGACAGCATTTGGGAGTGAGCTATGTTAGCTCAGTTACTGTGTGAAATGCTCCCCCAGTTTCCTCTCAGTGTCCAGCTGCCAGTTGCATAAACATAGCCAATGTGTCTGTGCCGTAAGTACTAGTATGACCAACTAATGATTAGTCAAGGGGAAATGAGTGTTACTGCTTGGTTTCAAATTAAACCAATCAACGTTTTTACATACTTGACTTAAACCAGTTATGAACAATGCGATGACAAACTTGTAAGACTAGTCTTAGCAGTTTATGCAACCAGCCCCCATGCGTGTGCAGTCTAAGCCACACTCAGATCCAGACTCTGACTCTGACCAGGAAGAGGACAAGATGCCTCTGCCTTCCTGCCTGAGATCATCTGGGGGCCCGATGGCCCAGGAGTGAGTGGAGGAACTCGACAGCGCCCCCTCGCGGTCAGTAGCAGTACTAAAAGTGTTAGGAGGATGGAGAGGAAGCTAAGATTTATTACAACTAATTACCATACTTAAACTCAATATATGAAGAGTTCAGATGCAAAAACCCTTTAAGACCGTCTGACATGTTATCTTTTAAATAAGCATTTTTTTATCAGGCTTCTATGTTTAGGTTCAGTAATTCCCCTTTAATGGCAATGAAAAGGTTATTAGTCAGTCATTGAAATGCCTTATTTAAAAAAATAATTAAAAAAATTCACTTTGGTCAATTCATTGGTATTTAAAAAAATGTAACTGTCTAAAACTTAAAAAAGTCAATGTGTGCTTTTTTTGCAAAAACCTCCAAGTCGACCTCTTTGGACAACAAGACATTAAAAAGTTGCAAAATCACTATAGATGCAACTGGAAACATTGGAAATGAACATCCAGAATTCAAAATGTAACCATGAAGAAACTGATCCACACAGCTGTGATGCGTGTGACGGCCACGTCCGTTTCTGTCAGTTTTACAGCAGCACAAGGAACACTGTTGCGTTTACTCGTGATATCAAGCTCGGCAACCCTTCTCATTCCCACACCGGGATTCATCTTGAAATCATATGATTTGATTCGCGTCTTCGGATTCGTTTCTGTGGACTTAAGAGGATTGTGCTGGCCAAGGGAAGTGGCGTTTAGTGGTTTCTCCCAACGAACCGGTATTTCTGAATGGGCTGACGCTGGGATTTAGCGGATTTGAAGCGAAAGCATTTGATTAACGTATACTATGTTCCGGAGAGCATTCACTCAATACCATGATCTCATTTTTGACGAAGGAGGCGTTAAGCGGCTTTAGCATCTGAACTCTTCATATGAGCTAAGGATGGAGGTGATCCTGTTAAAAAAAAACTAAAAAAACACAACAAGCAAAAGAGCATCCATCCATCCTCTGAACAGATTGTGCTATGTAGGGTCACTGCGGTGCAGGAGATGTCTCGGCCTGAAGGAAGGGAACAGCCTGGACAGATGGCCTTAGATGGCATTAGAGTGTTAACACTCACTGCTGAATATCTTTGGATTGAGGGAGAAACTGAAGCACTTGGAGGAAACCCATGCCAACACAGGATAACATGTAAACTCCACACAGTAAGGCCTCCTGACTCAGCCAGGACAGTGCTACTCACTGAGCCACAGTGACACCAGGCAAAAGAGAAGTCACATAAGAGTCTATGGGTTGTCTTGGAGAGATGATAGATCCATTCGCTCATTGACCACGACGCAAAATGATATCTGGGAGTTGGAGATGTATAGTAAGTAGGGCTGTCGACCAAAACGCAAGAGCAGCAGCGCGCACACCGCGGTCAAAATTCAAAATAGTTCAACTTTTGCCGCTGTGACGATTACCAGCGGAGGCCAATAGAAACGTTTTGGCATCCAAAAAGTTTTGAAAACTGGCGTAGCGCCGCGCATTCCGAGTCTTGTCTGAAAGCACCGGATCTAGCGTTACGTTTTGAGTGGATGACGAGCGCGAGACGCCGAAATGGATGCCAATAAGATTCTGAATTGAAAGTTTAGTTTTAAAAAGTTGCCAAATGGTCCCATTGACGAGACCAAAGTGATCTGTGTGTTTTGTCGTAGTGAACTGAGCTATCATCATCGCAGCGCGTCCAGTCTGAAATACCACTTGATGATGGCCAAACACACACACACACACACACACACACACAGCTGATGCGAATTCTCCGCCCCCTCGTCAATATCAGGACCTCGTCAGTATTTCTTTCACCCTTTTATTGATGGACAGTGTTACATTGTGTGAGAGATTATTTGCTCCAAGTGAAAATGTTTTAGTGTGAAATTGAACACAGCTTGTCAATGTTGTCTTCAAAAAAAAACCATTTGCACAAAGCAAGCCGATCCACTTTTTCATGTTAAGAGCATTAAAACTAGAAAAAAATAATGGGACAAAAAGAAATCAAGAGACATTTAGAATAGATAAAAATGACATTAATGCGATTAAACATTTTAATAGTTTGACAGCACTAATAGTAAGTGATCTCAAAGTCACAGAAAGACCGTAACAAAAGTAAAACTGATTGGTCCAAGGTAAATTCTGTTAAGAAGAAGGCTGGAGAAGACTCTGGCGGACTGAACAGAGAGGCTGATGTCAGCATACATTAAGCACTCTGGGATGGAAATGACACTGACCTCGATGAGCAGGGTAACAAGGGACCACTTGTTAGGATATGGCTAAAGGCCTAAGCCATGACCTAGTGTCAGTGGTGACTTGAACCCTATGTGAGAGACTAACAGCAGGTCAGCTTACCCAGCTGCATAGCCTTACAGCACTCAGGGGGACCCCTGCATGTCAAAGGCCCCTATGAGAGCCTGTATTGTGAGAAAAATGAGAAGAGGGAAAAGGACTGTTGGAAGAAAAAGAAGCAAGGTCAAAAATCTGTGAAAATCCCAACTCAAGAGACAACTCCTCTGGGAGTTTATCTCAGAAGAGAGATATTGCATCTGTAATTTACAGGCACTTCCCCGCTGTGCAATCGAAAATACACACCGATTACAGAGGCGGAGAAAGGAATCCAGCCACAGCCACCCATCATGTGGACAATGAGAAACTCTCATTGTACCTGGTGGCTCTCTGTAGATTACTGGGTTATTAGTGTATTGGCAAATTGATCCCTGTTGTTGCAGACCCATATGCAATATTCTCTGTTGTTCTACTAGAAGCAGAGTTTTTTTAGTCTGTGGATTGTAGTAAAGCTGCAGAACATGGTGCAGTGAAAGAATGACTCGTGCATTTGTTCCAGGGCAGCGAGTCTACATTTAAGTGCTAGGAAAAAAATTATAAATGCGGGTTTTTTCCAGGGCACCAAGTCTATATTAAAGTGCTAGGGGGGGGAAAGGACGGATGGGGAGGCCCGTATAATAATGTCCTTAAGTTCAAGAAAGGAAAAGATGAGTGCATCCCACTCACCATGTCTGAGGTGCAGGGGGAACTTAGGAGTGAGCCTGGGGAAGAACTCACCCTTATATGGGGTGAGGGGGGAAAAGGAAAGCTCCATAAAATATTGGTTATTAAAGCATTAAGCCCCTTGAAGCATTTTGGTAATTTACAACGGCTTCGAACGCGGCTCAACCAATCAGAATCAAGGACTGGAACTATCCGTTTTATCATTTGTAATAGCATTTCCTGGATCTTTAATTTCAGTCTGCGAACATCTACCTTTTCATAATATAAATTTTATTTCATAAAATTAAATAATATTTTTACTGTTTATTCTTGTGATTTATATATGCAATATGGGTGTTATTCCAATTGTTTAGACGTTACGATGACAAATGTAGCAGTTACGCATAATCAAATAAAAAACAAATGGTAGAATAAGCAGTGCTTTTACGGTCCATTCATTGCGGACGACAAGCGAAAAACCCATGTTGCGCATGCGCACCTCGATCCTGTATTCTTCAACATGTACGGCAAAAAGCACAACTCTGCTGTGCCGGTAACACTTTACTTGAAGGGGTGTGCATAAGACTAACATGACACCTTCATAATCATGACATGACACACGTTATGAATATGAAGGAAGTTTTATGCATGTTTATGACTACTGTCATTAAGTGTCATTCGCTCAATAATGACATTTTGAATGCAAATATGACATTGTTTGAGATGTCTTTGTTATGACACCTTGACATAAACCAATACATCATAACCTGTCAGTGTCTTTGTCATGACAACTTGACATTACTAAGACAACACAACCTGTCATAAACATGACATAGCAGATTAATTATCAAACTTAAGAAACCACTTAGCTTTATTGGTTAACATTACATTAAACTGTCATGTGGTTGGTGTTGACATTGGCTGTCATGAGGCCATTATAACTGTTTAATGACAAATTCAATTTGTACCACTGTAGTTGAGGTCACGAAAAATATTCATGACACAGTTATAATGGCCTCATGACAGCCAATGTCAAAACCAACCACATGACAGTTTAATTTAATTTAATGTCAAGTTGTCATGACAAAGACACTGACAGGTTATGATGTTATGGTTTATGTCAAGGTGTCATAACAAAGACATCTCAAACAATGTCATATTTGCATTCAAAATGTCATTATTGAGCGAATGACACTTAATGACAGTAGTCATAAACATGCATAAACCCTACTTCATATTCATGACATATGTCATGTCATGGTTATGAAGGTGTCATGTCAGTCTTATGTACACCCCTTCAAGTAAAGTGTTACCGCTGTGCCTTTGGACGTAAATATGCTATGCCCGTAATCATCTACGTTACATATCAGACATGGACCAATTAAAATCGAGATATTACTGGACATTTGCGTAGCTAACGTCATTACACCACAGCTAGCCTACACGCCTAATCCCCGGCAAATTCAAAGTCAAAATGACAGCACCGGCCGTGATCGCAGAGTTAAGAAATTTTTCCTATTAATTCAAAATCTGAGTTAATAGCAAGAGGGAGGTCTGCGCCAGCCTTAGATGGACTAGTGCAGCAACTGAAGGCCGTAAAGACGAGTTTTACAAAGTTGTGATCGACGTCTTCACGAGGAAAGAGCGCCGGATGGATTTTATGACAAATAATCTACCGATTGGTGAGTCCAAAACTATATTGCGCTTAATATTGAATTGATAAATGTGGTTGAATTAATGCAAGCCATTTGCCTTCATATTCAATTGAGCAGTGTGTGATTTCACTTTTGCTGACTGACAAACATAATTGGCCGCTGTGCAACAATTAAGGATTAAGAATGGTTGCATTCTGATGCTGGAGTGGACATTAACTACCGGTGTGTGCCTGTGTGTGTGCGTGCGTGCGTGTATGTATATATGTATGTGTGTGTGTGTGTGTGTGAGAGATAGAGACTGTGAGAGTAACGTTACACGATATACATCCTGATTTGTACATTTCTTGTTATGCTGCGCTTGTGCGTAACGTTTACTGTTATTACGTATATTATTAGCCTAAACAATAAATCAGGTAATCTGGCTTTCATAACTCAGTGCCTAGCCTCTTTAAGACATCACCGCACGCCACTGCTCCCGTGTCAGAAAGATGAAGACTTGTGTGATAATAAAGCATTATCAAGAGCGGGGAGATGTGGTGTGTATGTCATGCATATTCTGTGGTTGTTTTCAATACATCATTTTGGTTGTTTTGGCTGCATATTGTTCACATAATGCTTGAAACATAGAACACCGGAGTAAAAGGCTACCACTCTGCAACTTTTGATCTCACTCAGGTTTATCACTTTGTGTAATTGAACAATCTCTTCTAAAAGACTCTCATTGTTGCGCTCCTGACTAGACACTTCTTAAATCCTAATGGACACACTTACTTTCCTCTTGGACCTTACAGAGATGAGGATATTCGGCAGCAGGTATTCTGGGCTGAGGGAGCAGTAGAATGTGATCACTCCAGCCAGAAACGACCAGAAAACCATGAGAATATGGAGATACCTGGAAAAAGTGGCAGGACATGCAAGCATGTTTACTGTAAGCATGTGGATATATTTGTTAATCACCAATCTTAATGGATCAATTGTATGTAGAGCTCCTGGAAATGTGTTATTAAAAGTGGCACAAAATTAATTTTTGGAGCAAAAACCTTGATTGACATTATAAGTGGAATTGAGGGAGGGAAATAACATGCTCCAGAAAGCTACTCACTGGTTGAGGATGATGGTGGAGGAGATCATAAAGGTGAAGATACAGAAGATGACAGGATATTGACGAGCAACATCCTTAAACACATCTAAGCGCAGACCTCTTCTCACACACCCCAGAAATGAGTGAGGGTCCGACATTATATCTAAACAAGAGAATACATCTACTGAATGATTTCGGTAATTCATGAATTTACATGGTATAATTCCAAAACAATTAGGCTAGGCCATTTCCAAAACATTGTAATAACACACGACACATCTATATTGTATACACACTAAAACGAATAGTTTAATTTAAAATGTAATATGGTATTCACACATGCCATGGTGCTTTTACTTTTTGTTACTGTCAAATCAAGACAATAATATCAGATGTTAAACTACAGTGGATGATGACGATGATAGTCTGGTAATCTCAGCTAACCTGCAAATGTGTAAACAGTGTAAACAACACGAAAACATTTGCTCTTAAACGTCAGTTTAGTGCGATGTTGTAATTCTCTCACCTCACAGATGATGCGCACGTCTGATATAAACTCTAGAAACATGTCAACACATCCTGACACTAATGTTTTGATCATCCATCTGATCGTTTCACATGATCAGATTATTGAGCTGCACTACCGGGTTTAGCATGTAGCGTCATCCCGAAATACCGTTTCAAAATAAAAGTCCGGTTGAACGATTAACTTACAAATTAACGCAAGTTAATACTGTTTCCATTAAAATATCATTGTTACTACCGTTAGTGTTGCTGTATTATCATAATACATTAATATGAAAAGGGTCAAATATGTGATGTTGTGTGTCGCGATGTTGTGTGGGTTTTATCCATAGACTGTAAAAAAGGTTTTATCTAGTATTGAAACAGACCACTGATTCTTGAGATATGAGACATGTTTAGAAGTTAGTTTTTTTATTATTTAATACTACATTATTATAAACTGATATATTTGTAGAAAAAGATCTCATCTAATGAACCATGTGAACATGTTTTTCTGAAAATATTATTTTTTTCTAAAAATGTATCCTACATTTGATTTATTCACCTCATGACAATTTGTGTCAACTCCATCAGTCGCATTAAAAATCATGCTATTTTATTTGGTCCATCCAACAACCGTGTAAAGTGTGTTTACTACAGCTATAAGTGAAAAAATACATTCTCTAAAAAATGTTTTCCTGGGTTAGGATTATTATGACCAATCCAGTTCAATGTCCTTAATTCTCTACCCTCCTTTTTAATATTAAACATATTTAAATGTTCTTTGGTAAATCAGACATAATATCATAGGCTAGTTCAGTTGATGTTTTAATATTTTAACACAATAAATGTAAAAAAGAATAAATATTTCTTTCAAATTTAACAGAAACCTTCATACTGAGGGAATTGACAAAAACTGACGGAGTTGACAAAGTTAGTTGGAACTTTGTCAACTCCGTCAGTTTTTGTCAATTCCCTCAGTATGAAGGTTTCTGTTAAATTTGAAAGAAATATTTATTCTTTTTTACATTTATTGTAATGAGTAAGTTGTCTTAATTTGTTGTCTTGTTTTTCAGTTATTGTAACCTTCAAGGTTACAATAACTGAAAAACAAGACAACAAATTAAGACAACTTACTCGTTTTTAAACTAATATTTCATTTAATACAACAATCCTTCCAGTGGTTTGTTTCTCCTTTTAGCGGTACATCTCAGTATGAGTGTAATGTTAGCTACATTTCATTTGTGCCGACCTGCATGACTTAAGCAGTGCGAAACTGGCATGTTTGCTTTCTATGAAGTCCATTATATCAGGGTTTGCTATTGCAGTGATCTCATGTGAGTGACAGGTTGTAACGAAATACAAATTATTATTTATAAGAAGAACTGCAATATTACATAAAAAATGAGGATCATCATTTTTGAATTCATGGTGACAGTAGATGTAAAGATTCTATAAGAAATGTAAATCAGGCCAAATATAGAAATAAAATGATGAAACAACATTAGAATAATTTTCCATATGCAAAAAATAAATAACTTACATTTTATTTTAAGCTGACGTGGTTACAGTACATTGTACTGAGTAATATTAATTAACTATAATAACTACAGAGTTACGGTAAGGGATTGGGTTTGGTTTAGAGTTACTTGTAATATGCATAATTTACTGTTATTACTATAGTAAGTACATGGGTAACACTTATAATAACTGCATGCTATAAATAATTATTTAAGCATTAGTAAATAGTTAATTCATCATTTATAAAACATTAAGCAGTTTATAAATACAGCTAATGCTTAATTCTTGATTTATAAGCATATATAATGTATTTAATAATTGCCTTTTCATACTTTATGATCAATTTATCATTTCTAAATTATGTATTAGATTATTTACAAACCAGTTATTTAGGAGTTGTCAGTTGTCCATACGAATGATTAATAAACTATTTAAATGTACATTTATAAATCGTATTATTAAGACAGTAATAGTTACTCAGTGTGGTAATAAATGCTTTATTAACATGTATTTCTACTGTAATTCAGGTAGTTATTAAACATTTAGTAGTAGTCAGTTAACTATTTTTGTGAGCTCATCTAAAGTGAGGACTATTTATGCCTAAGGAGATCTAAAGGCTCAGTTATCTTCTAAACAGAAAAAGGAAACAAACTGAAACTGAACATGTTTCCAGCTTCACCACATGTTGTACAGTCCAGCAATTAAGTTTTTTCCTCAGTTGAAGCTGTCTTAAAGTCTGACATGTTGTGACCGCAGAGACCTCAACATTAAAACTTTCAGTCCTATGTGAGATTCATAATGAGAAGGAAATAGGAAAGGGGTCCTCAGAGTTAAAGATGACCATGACATTGCCTGATTTATTCAGAATTATAAAAAATCCTGATGGAGTTGAAGACACATAGGAAACTTCAATACTAAGGCTTTTTTTTTTATGGAAAATTTAATTCAATATTTACTTTTTGTATATTGTTTGATATATAACAGATCTCAAATTACAATTTTAAATGCATATTGTTTTATTTGTTGCATTTTTAAACACTTTATGGCAGTTTTACATTGTGGCCTCATGCTGAGGACATTCATAGAGCTTGTATTTAAAATAAAACTAAAGAAACTGTTTAAAAATAAAAGCAATGAATGTCCTGTATCCAGATTTCCATTTAGAATTTTCTTTACTTTTGTAGTTTTTTTTTTTTTGGCGGGGGATGAATTTCTTTATTTTTAACATAAAGAGGGCTTTAGTGTGTAAGATATGTTTTGTCCCTTATCTCAAGAATCAGTGACCAGTTTATAATCCATAAAGTGGTCATCATAATAACTCATAAATCTGACTCTGGTATGTTCCCGCTGTGGGTCGAGCTATTAAAGCATCCACCTCTTCATCAGACTGTTTCTTTCAACCACTTCCAGTCACACTCCCACATTATATCTACATATATGAAAAAATCATCATATATATATATATATTAAATGAATGGAGATGCTTATTCATCAGAAAATCTAATTTTCCCACCTCACCGTAATATGCTGTTTTTGAGGATTCTTACAAACCCTGTTACGGAAATTTGAGACATGCGTGAATTAATTGTAAATGCTCAATCTGTGTAATTTGGATATTTTGTAGCACACTATGAAATACATTTAATGAAGTACTTAAAAATAGAAATACACCAGAATAGGTAACCAACAGGGTTCCAGGTAACAGGGGAAATTTAGCCTGAATTAACCTGTCAAGGTAGGCCTATGTTCATTTTATATTAAATAATAGTCTTACATATATAACGTTGTTTTTCCTTTTCTGTTTCTTCAGCAAAGAACATGGTATTTCTGTCTTAGGCTTTAAATGGTGTCTAGGCTGGAGATTCTCAATAACCCCACAAGGGGGCATCAGCAAACCAAGGAGGCTGCAAGATGAGTTCAAATCATTTCAATTCAGTTTTATTGAAATCTAACAGAATATGCTAAGATGCACAGTCCATCTTAATAATAATAATATGCTGCTTACCATTTATTTGGAAAGTGCTATTGCATCCTCTAGATGATCATTGACAGCCCATAACTTGCATAGAAATACTGCATGTCTTGCCTGATGTCTGTCTAAATTCTGCAGAGGTATTAGATATTTTAGATACATCATTATTAGATCAAATTTTTAACTGACATCCAAGGAGATTGAGTATGAATTTACATTGCTTAATATAGTAAGTAAACAACCTTGGACAACCAACTTTATGTTTTATATTCATATCTATCTGTCAAAGCAAAAACGCCATAAACCAATGAGAAAGTTTACCTTATTGAGGTATTTCTCAAGAGATATGGTACAAATTTGGGGGGGGTCAAATATGTGAACATTTGATAAACACTGTTACAAAGACCGCAAACTCACACTGTCCAACTAAAGGAAACACTGATCACCGTAATGACGACCAAATATTTTCAATAAAACAACAAGACCTAAACCTCTGTTAATTCTCAATAAGAACTTCTATAGCCGTATGGCTGAAATAAAGTCAATCTGGTTAGTAATTAGTGAAGCTGGTAATGCTGTTTATGGAGTTGTTTAATCTTGAGAGATTTAATGTCTTCTTTTATCTTCAGTTGATTTCATCTAAGGCTGTGGCTGGAAGTCAGTTGTAGTTCTTGTGTTTCTCTTTCCCTCATTGATTATGCTTGTTACCAGCAGGTGTTCATCACTACTGCTCAATCATTACTTAATTACTCACTTTATTATCTCATTAACTTTAACACGGATTCAGAGTTACTTTAACTCTCTGTAGAGTGGGACCAAATGTTCTCTGAGCAGTGTTAATCTAACTCTGGGGATTTTGCTGTAGATAGTGTTTATGACCACTAAGATTTGACAGAAATTTTGTGTTCCAAGGTTTTTGCTCAGAACAGTAAGCCACGTTTAGCTGTTTTCTTACAATGGTTTCTGAGAGTGTGTGTGTGTGAGAGAGAGAGAGAGAGAGAGAGAGAGAGAGAGAGAGAGAGAGAGAGAGAGAGAGAGAGAGAGAGAGAGAGAGAGAGAGAGAGAGAGAGAGAGAGAGAGAGAGAGAGAGAGAGAGAGAGAGAGAGAGAGAGAGAGAGAGAGAGAGAGAGAGAGAGGTATGAGTAAAGAGTCTTAATGTAAAGATATTGTCTTTCACCTGGGTTATGTCATCCCTTCACAGATAGTGGCAGTGGATGTGTTTATAACAACTGAGAGGGAAATTTGCTTCTCTCTATGGTTGTTCTGGTACAGTAAACATGAAGTCACGTTAGTGTTTTTCAACCGCGGTGTTTAGTACATCCTCCATCACTGGCCATGGAGCCAACAACACCCTGCTGTTACATGGACTGAAGCTTCAGGAGATGAATATCACGTTTTTACTTGCTATATCATAAGACTACACATTTCTGAGATTCCAGAGAAGAAAAAGAACATTTCAATCATGATGTAAGTTTAAAATGTTCATCTTAAAATGTGTTATATTGCTGTCCTAATGCTGTTACAGTGGGATAATGTGCCAGATCAAGTCATCATATATAGAAAGTGATAAAAAAAATGAATTCTTAAAATTATTCATAGAAATGTGTTGCCTCCGTTCTAGAAAATGACTCTTGTGGCCATGAATCTGTAACTATCCACAAGAGGGAAACAGAGACATTACCAACATGTGCAATATGGCCAGACTTTCACTCTGTGATTTTGCCAAGTAAGATGTGTCCCTGCGTCAACATAATTAATTGATCCTGGAACAACATTCCTGTCTGAAAATGTAATCCTCACCATAACTCTAACCCTAAACCTAACCCTACCCACGAGTTATCCTTAAAATCAGAGAGAAATGATAGGTGAATAACACTGAAGTACAAACACACAACCCTGGTTGGAAGGTTTATATAAACTTGACATAAACTGTAAACTTGTCCCTCAAATCTGATTGGTTGATTGAAAACAAAGAAGTTGATCCAGGAACATGTTGCACTTGGTGAAATCAGGTTCACCCTTTGATTCCATAATGATGTGACATATAGTTTTAAATAAAAGTATCCCGGCATACACAGTTTAGGTCAGAGCTGACTTTATTTAAAAAAAAAAAAAAAAAAAAACCTTGCAATGGAAATTGAGATACATAGGTGTGCAAGCAGCTTCACTTCGAGACAGACTTTTAGGGGACAAAAGCCACTGTGACGTTTTATGATTTTTAACTTTCAATACTTAAGTAGATTAATTTCAGGTAAAATGTACCTATACTTTTGAAAAGTGCAAACAAAAAGCACCACCACACCATATCACGGTTTAAGGAATATCACTGAACAGTTATGATATTTACATTTCAACTGCTTGTTAATTAACTACAAGATTAAATACTAATTTTTATGAACACGCTGCGGGACGTTTTTTTCTCTGGGCTTTGTGCATGTTGTAAAAATCTGTTCCACTTCACATCTCAGAAAAATACATAAGCAGAATGACAAAATAAAAGGCTTAAATCCAACACGGTTATTTCTGTCACTGTATTATCTGTGACGATTACAGGCCATCTTGTAAAAAAAAAAAAATGAAAATAGTCCTTTTTTTTCTGATCCTCGCGACATTAACAGAAAAGTCTCATGTGGACCAGATACAGTATATATCTAAAAACAAGATTCAATGCATTCGTTAACACTTTTCTTGCTTTCATTATTTATGTCCTTGAGGAGCAACAAAATCTCCTTCTCTCTCATAATACTATCATTTCCATTTATTTCATTGGAAAAACAAGACATCTCAAAAACAGAGAGACTTTTATCTTTTACCGCTCATCACAAGGATGATGGATACTCTAAATCACCACAGAGCTTTACAACATATTTACATAGATAACAATGTGTGTACACACACACTCACACACATTTGAATTCATTCTTACACGGTTTTCATATTGAAAAGATCATTAGCCCCTTATTCCCATGTGAGAAGATATCATAGTTCAAAAACCAAAAATTCAAAGTATAAAAATATAGTCAACTTTCATAAACCACACACACAATATCCACACATATTACACTTAAATATAAGGGAGAACAACAACAAAAAAGCCCCAACAGAATTACTCAGTGAGAACCTCTTATTTTTGATGAGGGGGGGGGGGGGGGGGGGGGGGGGGGTTGGCACTTAAGCAATGAAACGTCGTAGTCAACACTTCGTCAAACCAGTGGTAACTTAAGCAGCTTTGTGTTTTGAACTTTCTGCATGTAACTTTCCATGACCGCCAAGTACACAAACATTCTTTAGTTGAGCCGTACAATCAAACGGCTTCCGCCGAGGTCTCCGCCGAGACGGACATGGTCAGTTTGGCTATTTTCACAGTGGTCTTGACACAGCTCTCGGCGGCGCGGTGCGTGTTCCTCTGGCCGTCGGACTCCAGGCTGTTGTCCAGCGTCAGGGTCGAGCTGGAGGAGCTCCTGCAGGCCTGGCAGGTGGTGAGGAACGCTCTCCGCAGGTCCTTACTCCTCAGGGCGTAGATGATCGGGTTCACCGTGGAGTTGAGCAGGCACAGCATACTGCAGAACGCAAACACTGTCTTAATGTTGTCGTCCATCCGCCAGAACAGATCGTACACCATGATGGCCAGAAGAGGCCCCCAACAGATCACCAGCACCACCAGGATGAGAACCAGGGTTTTGGCCAGGCGGATGTCCATGCGGACCTGATCGGGCCTGGTGGTCTGGACCTTGGTGCCGTCGGAGGAGTGTACGACCAGGCTCTTCTGCGACGTGCGCCTCAGCATCCTCACCGCGTGGTGGTGGGCCTTCCAGAGGATGTACATGTAAGCGTAGATGATGAACAAGACCAGAACGCTGGTCACGCCGATCCAGAACATCAGGTAGTTCTCGTCGATCAGCGGGAAGATGTCGGAGCAAACGGAGTTGAGGCGTTTGCAGTTCCAGCCCAGCAGCGGCAGCACGGCGATGATGACCGAGATCGCCCACATCACGCAGAAAGCGATCACGGCTTTGGTGCGCGTCACGATACGCCTGTACGACAGCGGGCGGTGGATGGAAATGTATCGGTCGATGGCGGTGAGGAACAGGCTTCCCACAGACGCGGTGAACGAGGCCGTCACGCCGCCCAGCTTGAACAGAAAAATGTTCGGACTGTCTTTGCGGTGAAAGACGTGAAAGTCCAAGAAGCTGTAGACGAAGATCACGCTGCCGAGCAGGTCTGCGATGGCCAGGCTCCCGATGAAATGGTACGAGGGCCGGCAGCGCAGCGTACGGGACTGCAGTATCACACACAAGACCACGAGGTTCTCCAACACCGTAAACGTCCCCAGCGTGAGAGACAGCAGTGCTACGGCCAGCTGTTGGCTAGGAGTCAGTATCATGAAACACTCCATGTCCATAAAGTTCTCCCCGCACTGAAGGCTACTCCCATCTTCTCCCAGGCTCCAGTTCCCGAACACATCAGAGCTGTTAGTGGGGTAAAAGGGGAGACCTTTCACGATGAGCTCCTCATCCGGTCCCACTTTGCCTGCGAAAGGGCTTCTTCGGTAGGCGGCAAACGGCTTCGGCCGGGGGTATCCGCTTTTGGCGAAGTCTCCGTCGATGACGTGGTCATCTAGGCTGATGTCGTTCGACCCGATGTACTGAAGTCCAGAAGTGATGGTTCTGAACGTGGTTTCTGCCACTCCATCCAGAACGGATTTAGCATCGGACTTTGAGGCAGGGAACAGCATGGTCAAAGAAGCTCTTAAGGAAACCTATTGGATTAAATTGAGAGAATGTTTTGTTCAAACATGACAGACTGAGTCATATGGATCCTCATTATTTCAAGATAACAGAATATTGAGCTTTCGAAAGCTCGATCGATGCCTCACTGAGCACAGAAATAAATGCCCTCTCAGACGAGCCATCATAGGGCTCTTGTATTTTGCGCTTGTTGTTTTCCTTGCATGGATGGGCACCTGGGGATTATTACACTAAGAGACGGGCTTTGAATAATTGATGCCTGCAGCTGACAGACTCAAGCTAAAACACCATAGTCATAAAGCAGATAACAACTTAGGACGCAACTTTATATTCTGGAGAAAACGGGTTTTTTTTAAAACTCATAATTTAATATGCAATTGAAAATGAAATAAAAGTATTAAAAAATATAGTTAGAATTTCGAATACATTATAAACTCAAGCATATATAGACTGCAAACATTTAATACACTATCACCTGTATGCTAATTTCACTGTGTTTTGAATCCTTGCGCTGCATCAGATCATGAAACAAGTTTAAATGCCGTGTCTGGATTCACTGTATCGCAGCACGTGAATCGCGATTCATTTATGGTAAAATTAGCACACTCACTGCGAGGCGCGTTTGTTTAAAAACAGCGAACTTTTTCTGTTTGTGCTGAAATACGCGATGTCATAGAGGTCGTGTTATCCAGCGTTAATACCGCATAATAAAAGATGAAATTGATCAAGTTGCTAGAGTTGAGAAATGCCGTTTTACCTTCACATAGTTCGCGCAGACTGTGTTCCTCGCTGTATGAAGAGATGAGCTGATCTCGCAGTGATCCAGTGAGTGAGTGAGAGATGCTCTGGGTTTGTGGAAATGAGGTGCTCTTCTCCTCAGTGCGCATCAGAGCCTATATGACGCATCCCGAGTCACATGACCACCCACAGACACGAGCATCTTTAATGTCAAAAATGAAAATAACTCAAAAGTGTAATGTATGTGTGCTGAGAGGTGGTTATGTTTTTTTCGGCATAGCCTGCCTCCTGTTTGACTTGTTTCCAATGGTTCATCCATAAGAATATCCAAGAATATTGACTGCGTGAATGGTTTTAATAATTTGGTCTCCTGTGCAGAACTCTTTATTATTGCTAATTAACATGCAGAATTATGACTTTCTTTCTGAATCATTTATGAATGAATGTATTAATGAATAAATGGTTTCATTTATTTATGAAACCATACATGAACATGTGAATATTTGACTGCCCTCAAGGATTAGTGTAGGATTAGATCTCTAAAATGTTCATGCAGTTTGCCTAGTGTAGTATGTAGTAATTAGGAGTACATTAGCAGTCTGTTTCAAAGATAAATATAACCCGTTATTCAATGACTTCACCCAGTATGGAATACCAAAAGCTTCAGGTTTCTTTTTTAAACCTTCTAATTGTTTATGCTGTCAAATCGATCAATCGTGATTAATTGCATGTAACATAAAAGTTTTTCTTTACGTAATATACAGTAGTCAACATTTGAAGTGGATCAAAACCTTTCATCAAAGTTATACATAAATGTTGAACAATACCCGTTCTTGTCTCAGGACAACTTTGATTAACTTTATTGATCAACTTCAAATGTTGACTACTGTATGTGTGTATATTATTATATTTATATTATATGTTTGTCTGTCATATGTGTGTGTGTGTGTGTGTTTGTGCGTGTGTGCGTACACACACACACACACACACACACACACACACACACATACACACACACACAGTCACAGACATTCAGTTATTTTGGTCTTAGTTTGATTTTCATTAGTTTCCTGATTCCAGCCCCTCAGTTTGTCATTATCACCCTTTCCTTGTATTTAAGTTGCAGTCTTTTCAGTTCTCATTTGTCCGGTCTCAAGGTTTTGTTTACTTTGATTACCGGTTAGATTTATCTTTATCTAGTTTATTAAAGACTGTTTGCCTGAATCTTCATCTTCATGTGCTTTACCACAACTGTTGTTAACACACACACACACACACACACACACACACACACACACACACACACAGAGAGAGACTGGTGCACAGGTGCGCATGTGCACCAAAAAATAAACAATGTGCAGCAGAAAACGTGGAGGGAATAAGCGCAACATTTTTGGCATTTTTTGGGGACAGAGACACATTTACTTACTGGACTAGGATTTTTCTCCGTGGTAAGATAGCAGTCATGATGATAAGTGTGTTCATTAATTATTAGGGGTGTACGGATCACAGTTAATCCATGGTCCGTGTGGACCAGGTGCCCCACGGTTCGGCACGCATGTGATTCGCGGATTAACTGCTAAATTTAACCATCATAGAGTGAAAGTTCATTGTCTTGCCAATATACACTCACCTAAAGGATTATTAGGAACACCTGTTCAATTTCTCATTAATGTAATTATCTAATCAACCAATCACATGGCAGTTGCTTCAATGCATTTAGGGCTGTGGTCCTGGTCAAGACAATCTCCTGAACTCCAAACTGAATGTCAGAATGGGAAAGAAAGGTGATTTAAGCAATTTTGAGCGTGGCATGGTTGTTGGTGCCAGACGGGCCGGTCCGAGTATTTCACAATCTGCTCAGTTACTGGGATTTTCACGCACAACCATTTCTAGGGTTTACAAAGAATGGTGTGAAAAGGGAAAAACATCCAGTATGCGGCAGTCCTGTGGGCGAAAATGCCTTGTCGATGCTAGAGGTCAGAGGAGAATGGTCCGACTGATTCAAGCTGATAGAAGAGCAACTTTGACTGAAATAACCACTCGTTACAACCGAGGTATGCAGCGAAGCATTTGTGAAGCCACAACACGCACAACCTTGAGGCGGATGGGCTACAACAGCAGAAGACCCCACCGGGTACCACTCATCTCCACTACAAATAGGAAAAAGTGGCTACAATTTGCAAGAGCTCACCAAAATTGGACAGTTGAAGACTGGAAAAATGTTGCCTGGTCTGATGAGTCTCGATTTCTGTTGAGACATTCAGATGTTAGAGTCAGAATTTGGCGTAAACAGAATGAGAACATGGATCCATCATGCCTTGTTACCACTGTGCAGGCTGGTGGTGGTGGTGTAATGGTGTGGGGGATGTTTTCTTGGCACACTTTAGGCCCCTTAGTGCCAATTGGGCATCGTTTAAATGCCACGGCCTACCTGAGCATTGTTTCTGACCATGTCCATCCCTTTATGGCCACCATGTACCCATCCTCTGATGGCTACTTCCAGCAGGATAATGCACCATGTCACAGAGCTCGAATCATTTCAAATTAGTTTCTTGAACATGACAATGAGTTCACTGTACTAAAATGGCCCCCACAGTCACCAGATCTCAACCCAATAGAGCATCTTTGGGATGTGGTGGAACGGGAGCTTCCTGCCCTGGATGTGCATCCCACAAATCTCCATCAACTGCAAGATGCTATCCTATCAATATGGACCAACATTTCTAAAGAATGCTTTCAGCACCTTGTTGAATCAATGCCACGTAGAATTAAGGCAGTTCTGAAGGTGAAAGGGGGTCAAACACAGTATTAGTATGGTGTTCCTAATAATCCTTTAGGTAAGTGTACACATTCAAACGATTTTAAACACTTGAACGGACACCTACACACAAAATTATGTAAAAATACCCGTCTCGACAAGTATTTTCTCAGTCAGTCATGAGTGAACAGTTGAGAAAGAAGCCGGATGTGTGTCAGTATATTCGGTCCGTGCATTCGGTCTTAAAGTGACAGCAGCCTAATATTCCTACTGTTGTCTGTGTCATTAATGTTAATAAAATAAAAAAATACAGCTTTAACAAAGATGAACCTATATTTACCTACCTATATGCTGCATGCCTGAGGGGATTTTCATGTCTCAATATAATCAAAAACCAGATCCTGCCTGTCAGACTCTCGCCTCTCATCTCGGATGCACATTCACTTGCCTAAGATGACAACAGAGACTGTTGACTCAAAGCCAACTGTTGACTTGTGGATGCAAACAGCAAATCGCAGGCTTTACCAGGGAGAAAGAAGCAGGCCTACATCATCATCTACCATGTTCGAGAGAAAAGAAGAGAGTGAGGAGAGCAGAGAGGAGGAAAGTGATGAGGGCAGGTTGTAGGATAAGTGTGACCTTTATTTATATAGCGCTTTATACAATACAGATTGTTTCAAAGCAGCTTTACAGTGAAAACAGGAAAATAATGCATTTCGGATGTTGTTCAGCTGAGGTCAGTTCAGTTCAGTGTTGATTCAGTTCCATCGTAAAGATCATCAATTAATAATTTAGTGCTTATACAACAGCATCAAAACTGTCAGATCAATAATATTGTTGAAGTTTTTTTCTGGCCAACAAAGAAGGACGGTGTGATTATGATTCAGGCTCCATCACAAGTCAGAAATCAGATTGTGGAACGGTAGCATTCAAATATTCATCCAGTTTCTTTAGCTTGAAGATGGGATTCTTTAACGCCGGTATGGAGCTGGTCATAGGTCTGTGAAGACTAAAAAATACTGTTTAATGTCATTTTTTTAGTATTATTTTTCTTTATTCATTTTCATAATAATTTCATAATGTATTTTGTGAAGTCAGAGTATGTTTGTACATGTGTGCTGAGCAGAGAGCGGGTAGAGTTATATTCTGCTTAGAGGTGTGTGTGCAATGCCACGTTCACTGAGAGAGATGTTCCACTGATGGTGATACATTAAATGTGTACATGTTAAAGGGATGTTTCAACTGATGCAAATGTACCACAGATGTATACACTGAAGAAATAGTTTCTTAATGTGGGAAGTGGATTGTACCATGTGTATACACAGGTATACGTTCCATTTTAAACATAAGCAATATGTCTTTCTACCTTACAAGGAAGTTGTATATAAGCTCAATCTTACTGTACCACCTCAGATAAACATAAAGGCATGATGGGGTGAGAGGAAGGAGAAACTGAGGCATTAGGGGGTGAGGGAGGAGAACCAAAGAGTTATTTTGGTGTGATTTACTTGCAATTTGCAATTCTCTGCAGAATGTAGTTTTCACCAGGAAGTCTGCAGTTGAACACTGTTATTAAAAAAAAAAAAAAAAACTTTTAACAATGTGGGCTGATGGCTTTAAAAAGCAAATACTATCGATTAACAACCTAATAGCTCACAGTCAAGTCAAGTCAAGTAACCTTTATTTATATAGCATTTTTTTACAATACAGATTGTTTCAAAGCAGCTTTACAGAGAAGACAGGAAAATAATGTTGTAATAATATTGTTAAATATAAAATTAAATGTCCCCAACTAAGCAAGCCAAAAGCCAATGGCGACAAAGGCGAATAAAGGCGAAAAAGGCGACAGTGGGAATGAACCAAAACTCCATCAGTGACAGAATGGAGAAAAAACCCTTGGGAGAAACCAGACTCAGTCTCAGTTTTCCTCTGGCCAACAAACGAGCTGTGTGTGATTATGATCCAGGCAGCATTACAGGTCAGGAGTCAGATTGGATCAGTACATTCACAATATTATCCAGTTCTGGTTGGAGGTCGGAGTCACGCCGGTATGGAGACGAGTGTGTAGAAGTGTCCATGAAGCCTTCACAGGGCTGATGAGGCTGGCACTTCAGGGATCCGTTGTCGTCGTGTCTAGGCGCAAGTCCACCATCTGATCTGGATACGGCCCGGGTCCGGCTGATTACAGTTAACCTCGGAATAAACAGAAAGACTAAAATTAGTGTAGATGCCATTCTTCTTATGATGTAACGAGTACATCAGGTGTTATAGGAAGTGTCCCCAGTTCCGACTGACCTAATCTATGCAGCCTAATAATCATTTAACTGATTTGAATAATAGGAAGGTATAATGTTCTATGTGAATG